CACGTTTCGGGCCACCCTTGTACAATTTAGGGCCAAATTCACCCCAAAAATGAGGCGGAAATGAGGGGGGTGGGGCTTCATTTGGGGTTCTTGGGGTCCCCCCCACAGCCGGGACCTCCCCCCTAAATTGGGGACCCTCCCAAAAAAAGCCCAGATCAGAATTTGGGGGAGATTTTGAGGGGATTTTTGGGGGTCCCCCCACCCCAAAAAAGGCGTCGAGGATGGACTCGGGGAAGGTTCTGGAATGGGGGGAGGGGGAGAACCCCTAAAATCACCCCCAAATTCGCCCTCCCCCCATCACTCCCCACCACCCCCCAAAATGGGGACCCCCCAAACTTCAGGACACGCCCAAAAATTCCCAAAAATTCGTCCCTCACCTCCCCCACCCCAACCTCGGGGGGTTCCCCTCCCCCAGCACCGACCCCTCCCCCCCTCCCCAATTTCGGCCCTGAGCGGGGGAGGGGCGGTTAAAGGGGGGGTTCCCCCAATTTTGGGGTGTTCCCCCCCCCCCAAATAAACACTTGGCGGCACAGACGGGGCCGGGGCCATTTTTGGGGATTCCCAAAAAAATGGGGTGGGGGAGGGGAAAAAAAATGAGTGGGGGGAGGGGGAGGGTTCCCAAAATTATTGGGGGGGAGGGGAATTTTGGGTGGGGGACGAGGGAGGGGCAGAGAGAGGAATTTGGGGTCTGGAGGAAGAGGAAGGAAGGAAAAGGAGGAAGGAAAAAGGAGAAGGAGGAAGAAATGAGGAGGAAGAGGAAGGACAAGGAGGAAGGACAAGGAGGAAGAGCTGCCCGAGCCCCTCAGGGCCCCACACCCAACATGGCGGCTCCCGGCTCCTCCCACGGCCGCCGCCATGACACCCGCGCATGCGCACCGCACCCACACCGCCCCAAGATGGCGCCTCCCAGCACCCAAAATGGCGGCGGGAGCCAAGAGAGGCCCAGGGGGGCTCTGGGGGCGCCCCCGGCCCACGCGGGACCCCCAAAAATCCCCGTGGGGGGAGGGGAAGCCCCCCCCCGTTATCCCCTCCCCCTCCTTTCCCCCTACGTCATCGCCGCGCGCAGCCAAGATGGCGGCGCCCCCATCCCCGTGGTTCCCATGGCAACCGAGGCAGGCCTGAGGCCTCGGAGCAGGCCCGGCCTGCGCAGGAGAGAAATAAAATCATTAAATCGTTAATTGGGGTTAATTAATTATCGTTTGTGAGCCGCGATTTAGCGTAAAGACTTCAGAAATGGGCCCAGAGCCGGATCTGGAGCCCCAAAGATTAAAACCAGGCCCAGGCCTAAGGCCAGGCCCCAAAAAGCCCCAAACCCAGGCGGGTTTACACCAAATAACCACAAAAAAACCCCAAATCTGGGTTTAAGCCCCAAAATCAACACCAGGACTGAGTTCAAGCCCCAAACTTCCTCAGTTTAAGCCCCTAAACTCCGTTTCAAGCCCCCTCCCACTGACTCTAATTTCAAATTCCATCGCGGTTTTAACCCCTCCAACCCCATTTTAATCAAATTTAACCCCCAGACTGAGTTTAACCCTCTAAACCAAATTTTAACCCCCAGCCCCAATTCCAGCCTCCCCCAGGCCTCATTTGAACCCAGGTTTAAACCAAATAAATCTGATTTTAACCCAATAAATCCGGTTTTAATCCCCCCAAACGTGGCTTAAACCAAATCTGGTTTTAACCCAATAAATCTGATTTTAACCCCCATAAATCCGGTTTTAACCCAATAGATCTGGTTTTAACCCTCCCAAACCCCTTTTTAAACCCAGTTTAACCCAATAAATCCGGTTTTAACCCCGGTTTTACCCCACAAACACCACCCGAGGCCGCCCTGGGCTCAAGCGAATTTTCTTTATTTCTAAAAAGGGACAAAACCGCCCGACACGGCCTGGGGGGAGGGGCGGGGGGGGAGGGGAGCTGGGGGTCGAGGCCGCCCCTCCCCCACCTCGGGGGGCAGCGGAAATTTGGGGAATTTTTGTCATTTTCGACCCCCAAAAAACGGAAGGGACGAGAGCAGAAATGGGGAAAAATGGGGGGAAAATGGGGGCGGGGGGAGGGGCGGGGAGGGACCCCCCCAAAAACCCAGGAAAAAACAAAAAAAGGGAATTTTGGATTTTTCACGGATTTTCGTGGTTTTGGGGTTTTTTTTTTAAAGTTTTTTTTTCTTTTTTTTTGGTGTTTTTGTTTTATTTGAAAAAGGACCCGAAAAGCTCCGGAAGCGGCCCCTCCCCCACCCTGGAAAATCCCAAATTTGGGGTTTTTGTGAGGGGGGGGTTCTCACGTTGGGGGATGGGAAAATGGGGGAGGGGAGGAGGGAGGAAAAATCCCCAAAATGCCAAAGAAAAAAGGGGAAAAAACCCCAAAAATCCCAAGGAACAAAATTTAGAAAGGAAAAAAAAAAAACCAAACTTAAAAAATAAAATAAAAAGAAATCCCAAATTCCCCAGAAAATGCCCAAAAAATCAACCCCAGAAAGTCCCAAAATCCCCCACAAAATCCCCAAAATTAAAGGAAAAATTCCCAAAAGGAAAAGAACCCAAAAATTAAAGGGAAAAACCCCAATTTAGAGGCTCCATTAATTAAAAGAGTCCCATTAATTAATGGAGATCCCCTCCAATTAAAGAACCATTCATGAAATAATGAGTTATTAATGAACAGATGAATAAAGGGACCCCAATTAACAACAGGCCTGTCAATCAACCGAGGCCCCCATGAAAACAACAATAATTAATTAAAATCCCCTCATTAACATCAATTAGGGGCCCCCTGAGGGGGGAGGGGAGGGTTTGGGGTCCCCCCAGTGCCCAACCCCCCCCTTGTCCCTGGGAATTCCCCCAAAATTCCCCAAAATTCATCAAATTCCAGCGGAATCCCCCAAAAGGGTCCCGGGCGAGGGGGGGGAGGGGAAGATTTGGGGGGATTTTTGGCCCCTTTCCCCTCCCCCTCCCCAGCAATGGGAATTTTCCCATTTTTCCCCTTTTTCCCCCCAATTTTCGCCTCCTCCTCCCGGGCTGGGGGGGGTGGGGGAGGGGCAGATTTTGGGGACCCCCCCCCCGCCCCTCCCCCACCCCCATCACCCCCAATTTCCTCGTTTTTTTCCCTCTTTTTTTTTTTTGCGCTTTTTTTTTTATACAATTACAACAAAATTCTTTCAACAAACTTTAAAAAAAAAAAATTTACATTTTTCCATCTTTTTTTTTTTCCTTTTTTTTTCCTTTTCCCCTCCCCTTTTTTTTTTTTAATAATTTTTTTTTTTGTTTCATTTTTTTTTCCCTCTCTTTTCCCCTCCCCCCTCCCCCCCTTTTCTTGTTTTTGTTTTTTTTTGGGGTTTTTGTTTTTCCAGCCCCTCCCCCCTCCCCGTTCGTTTTTTTGTTTTTTTTTTTTTTTTTTCCCGCCCCCTCCCCGGTTTTTCCCCGCCCCTCCCCCCCTTGCCCCGCCCCCCCCGTCCCCCAAATTTTGGGATTTCCTGGGAAGGGCCGGGGTTCACCGGTAGCCCTGGTAGCCGTAGTAGTTCCTGTAGTACCGGTCCCTGTCCTGGTAGTAATTCTGCCACTGGGGGGGGGGGGGGTACTGGTTAAACTGGGAACACTGGGAGGGCACGGACAGCACCCAAATCCCCCCCCAAAAATCCCCAAAATCCCCCCAAAAATCCCACCCCGAGATTTCCCCAAAACCCCCCCAAAAATCCCCAAAATCCCCCCAAAAATCCCCAAAATGCCACCCCGAGATTTCCCCAAAACCCCCCAATTCCACACCAAAATCATCCCAAAAATCCCCCAATTCCACACCAAAATCATCCCCAAAAAATCCCCAAAATCCCCCCAAAAATCCCACCCTGAGATTTCCCCAAAATCCCCCAATTCCACACCAAAATCATCCCCAAAAAATCCCCAAAATCCCCCCAAAAACCCACCCCGAGATTTCCCCAAAATCATCCCCAAAATCCCCAAATTCCACACCAAAATCATCCCCAAAAAATCCCCAAAATCCCCCCAAAATCCCACCCCGAGATTTCCCCAAAACCCCCCAATTCCACACCAAAATCATCCCCAAAATCCCACCCCGAGATTTCCCCCAAAATCTCCCCAATTTCACACCAAAATCACCCCAAAAATCCCCAAAATCCCATCCCGAGAT